GAGGACGAACTTAAACATCAACCTCGCCTGAGTGGCGCGAAGATCAAGAACACAGAACAGTCTGTCACTAACACGAAACTAAACAGCAAACAAATTTCAGAAAAATCAGAAAATTTTTCTGTTGTCACCTGCTGTGCTTTCATTCCGCTCAGCTGTGAAGTCAAGAATGGCCACCATAAGAGTTTTCCGCCATAGAATGTTGTGCTGTTTCAGTATTGGCACCGTATAGCGTGGCAGCAGGGATAAGAATTTGTATATATTCAATTTGTGGCTGTGTGATTCTGGTAAGCAGTCGTATAAAGTTTGTGCTTACAAGTCTGGCTCTGGCCTCCGCGGCGAGGTGGTGTACCCCGAGTCTGAACTATATGAAAACCACTTCCCTTTTATTTGCTCTAAGACTGTTCATGAATCTTTCGTCGTCTCCCTCCATAGGAAAGGTGTGATCAGTGGGTGTCTGACTATGGGCTTACAGCAGCATACGCACACTATATATACCGTAGGCGCAACATATGTTCCGCGAGCGCGTGTTCTCTACGTTCGAGAAATCCTCCGTAGACGTGGCAGCTCTTAAGCGATTATTACTAGAATTCTACAAACATATATTATCTATAAAAGTAGCGACTTAATAAACCGCTATTGCTCGGTGGGTTAGCGTACTGGCTACCATTCGAATGTTTCGACTGGTTAAGGAGCTCTTAACGTAAATATTACTCCCACCGTTCGTCATGGTTATTGTGTTATTATGGGGGCGCAAGAGCAATTTCGTTGTGGGGGACAGAAGTATATTTTGTTGTTGTTGCTGTATCGTTTACTCAGCGTGAGGTGTAAAAGCGTTGGCAAAGGCTACGAGTCGCAGTCACTGTTGTGGTTACTACCAATGGTCAACTGCCCCAAGAACGAACACTATACCATAGATCTATTACGATCTCATTCGTCCGTATTACTTTTGCTCTTGCCTCGTTGGTTGACGTTACACTCCGCGTCCCACGCTTGATCATGCAGACGACAGAGTCGCGCTCTATATAGTTGATGAAAGCCTAGGATCAAGGCTGAAGGTACCTTTATCTCCTGATGCTATCGTCACATACTTCTTCCGCTGGCATAACACAGATTAGTGCGTTAGGTACGATGGCCTTTGCGCTTTTGGTTCTGAACGGAGGCGTTACATCTTCAGTGTCTTTTTTTTCCCTATAAAGAGTCAATGCGCTGCTGTTGCCACTGCCGCAACTCCTTCTACATCTTCTGGCTGTTGTTGTTCTCTAATTTGTCTTTTCACTCAATGTTCCTGGCTTTCGCGCCTCCCGTTCGTATTTTCTACCTTTTTAGTACTGGCACCCTTTTCCTGTTCTTCCTATGTTCGCCATCGTATAACGACGGTGCTGCATATAGCTATGCTCAAGTGTATGTAGCTCTATTTTGTCAATCGATTCTATTTTTCTTCTCCTCGGTCGGATTGCGGGGTGTCTTAGACCGGTGCGGTAACAGCCACTACAAGCGGCGCCGTAAGCAGCTGCGTTAACGTTGCGTGCCATTAACAGAAAGCGAGCGAGATACACCGTCATCACTATGATCGGCTTGGCTATGAACATCGCGGCGTGGCTGTCTCGTTTCTCATTGGCGTGCGGTGTTTAGAAAATACTGACGGATTGACTGCTTTGGTAGTCGACGTAGTAGCGACAACAATAATAAAAAGTGGCAGCCGCGGGAGTTAGACGAACAGATACGGACATCCCTAGCTGTTCAACAAGAAGGCCGGGTATCGACAAAACAATTGCATCAGCAGGAGTGAAAACAGCTTTTAGAAGAAACCATACGTGGATACACATATACAATATATCAATCTATGATATGTTTAGCGGTGGGCTTACTCGCAGACGGACGACCAAGCAGACGTTCATAAATACACACACATTAAATACAGTCACTCATTTGAGGATACTAGCAGAACATGTAACACTGCTACTTACTTCTATGGGGAGTCTGGGGTAGGGTATATTCTATGGGGTGTTCACAAACGAGTGAAACCATCCACAGCAGGGACGCCATCCGACACACATCTATGGAACGTAAATCGAAAGCTTAGATATACAAGCAGATACAAATGTACATCACCGAGCATGTCAGCATGAAATTAAGGCTAATCCCGAAAAGAGTCAAATACACAGTTGAGAAATACGGATCGAACACTACTCCGCATGGTATCACTCCGCAATTAACAATAAATTAAAGCAAGCAGCAGGCCAAAAGGCGCAAATAGGTCATCAACCCTTTTTGTGCTTACAGTATATATATATATGCACAACAGCGCAAACAGGTACACTGCGGCTTTCAGTGACGTCGCTCAATAGACAGTTACCGGCCAGCAGCATTAGCGCTATGGAGGAACTGGAGTATACACGTGATTCCTCAATACTCGATTCGCCTATTTGAACTAACAGTGAAGAGCTATTGCTACTTCTGTTGCTGATAACCCTTATAGTTCATTTGCTCAGTTGTTTCATCGGACACAGAGAAGAGCCGGCTCAATCACTGAAGGAATTTCATGATTGTCCACCGCACGCTGGTAGATGGCCTGATGCTGTTACTTTTTCTACTGTTTGAGATCAGTAGCCACTGGCTACCGATCAACCAACACATCGTCGAAGTGATCAGGTGAACGACGATACAGCTGTGTCGTTCCTTGCGCCATCGCGGGGATCGTCGACGTTGTTGCATACCAACTTCAGCAGCAGCAGCAGCAGCAGAAGCGATAGTGGCGATACAATCTGCCACCCGTTACTTGGTCAGCCGTAACGGTAGCGGCAGAGGCGATAAGTACGCTCACTCTTCGCGTTCGTGCAAAATAAAGGAGTTCTCTTGACAGAAAAATTTGGGCTGGGTTGGGTTCGTTCGTCATCGTTGTTGTTGATGATGGGGTACCGCATTGTCGGTTGTTTCGGAGGTGCATCCGTAAACCGGCGGACGTACACTCGATATTGTGGCATAATAACAAATTTCTCCGTGTGTGCATGTTTCTAAGAGTATGTGTAAGCATTTGAGCGGTATGCGTGCAGGGCTGTATATAATCACACGATATCAAGAATAGGATCACCTACCGAGGCTGAGCCTCGATTAACGAGCCTTGTTCGGTCCGATCATCAACAAGCAACAAACGGCCGCATTTAAGGCGGATGAGACGAGTCAGAGAAATGTTGAAGGCAACGACATGATTTTCACACGGTCCGACCTAATGGTACACGAGGACTTATGCAATGCGAGATGGTATATGCAAACTATAAACGGAGGTATATGTATTGTTCGAAAGTCTTGACAATATAAAGAGCTGTTTTGTACGTATTTCGCCCTTGAACTCTTATGATCTAGACCTGGCTACATGTGAAATTAACTCTGTATTCTGTACCTAATCTTGCGCCTGATGCACACGGATTGGCGCATGTTGACCTGTTGTAGCTTTGATTTGTGCGTATCTCAAAAGACGGCAGACTGAATTGCCAGTTCAGACAACAAGAAGATCAACTTGTCAAATACAATCCACAGAAAGCCTCGAACAAACGGCAATTGTTTCTAGTTTTAATACCAAAGGCAACATGTCGGCCAAGAATAATTTGCGGGTCGAAACTATTTTACTAGAGATAACCTATTTTGGGTGCCAAACAATCACACGATTCTTCGTATCCAGAAAATCTCACCGTCGAATCCCTGGTATCGTCGGCTATCGAAGGCTATGATTGCCATTGGCGCGTTTTTTCGCTTGACCGTAAAATGATCAAAATTAATTTGAAAGCTCCTTTACCAAAAGGCGTACGATTTAGTTTTTTTCCGGTTGCAAACATAGCGATATTTGTGAGAAAGATGCCAACAGTCATTAACGCTTGACTATATTCTCCCCTAGTATAAATTTGTCCTATCTCTGTTTGTCCTATAATCTGTCTACATATCTGAATAGGCTGTTATTTCCATGGCGAGAATAGGCGTCCGCAAGACACAAATTGTCTAGCGTTTTATAGATACTCGGACACTTGAGTAAATATGAAGTGGCTACTGCTCAGGAGACCCTAGTACGTAGATGCTATGATTCGCAAAATCACATGGACAGTCACAGGCGAAATTGGTACAGACTTGAGGCTATCGACGGAACACTTGATATAAGCCATTTATTCAAGACCATCCCAACTAGACTATCCTTTGTACTAGACTAGATAAACAAATATCGGCGTTCGAAGCGATGCCCGGCAATACTCTCTTAAAATATTTTCAAATAGTAAAAGAAAGTGCTTCGATTTTGTAGTGTGTGTAGTATACAGAGAGAAACAGACGTATCACGCCCATATCTCGGCCAGCTCTCGACGTGATCCTGCTTGATCATAGTTACTCTCTACGGAACAAGTTCTGTTTGACCGATTCGAGTCTGGATATTCATGCGTTTTAAAAATGCCTCTACGTGGCATTCGTATGAAATTGTGCGGAGTTTTTATAAGACGTGCATGTCATGACGGAGGGCAAGAAGTCTTTCACATGTGTCTCGCGATACTGTCTGATGCTTTATGCAAAAGCACGCCATACGAAACACGACTATAACATGATTCTTGGCCCCAGGCAATGATTTTGGATTGACAAAATACGTTTGTTTCCGATTCAAAGGTGTCTGTACGCATAAAATCTTCATTGACCCATAAACGTTGCCCACTGATAGGTAAGCTTTAGTCGCTGAATAAGTTCGTAAAAAACCGATCTTTAGGTTGCCGCATACGAATAATATTCGACAAATAATAAACCGACATTTAATATTACTGCGTTTAATAATGTATAGCATCCTGCTATCGCTAGTTCTGTCTATCTCTACCTTACTCCCGTACTCGGTAAATGGAGACAATACGATATGATATTCCATTAAGTACGAATTTCTCGGGCGTTGGTTGTGCCTAGCTATAGCTTATACAACTATATGGATACAGTAAATGATTAATTGATCTATAGCAAACAATTGGCGTTGTACGTACCCGTCCTTGCTCTCTGCCGCGCGATCCCGTTGGCGGCGATTCTTAAACCAGTTCGACACTTGCGTTGTCGTTAAGCCGGTGGCTTCGGCGAGTTCACGTTTTTCGCGAGGCGATGGATACGGATTATGCGCGTACCATTCGCGCAACGTCGTTCTGGACTTTTCCTTAAAGCAGTACGACGTCTCATCGCCGTCCCAGATAGTGCGAGGAAGGGGAAACTTCCTACGAATTCGGTATCTCCCTACGGCGCCAAGCTGCCGTCCGCGTAAGCGTTCCGCCTCAATATAGTGCGCTTTCAACCAAAGCGCCTGAAGTTTCGGATGAGCCGCTGGAGCGAACGAATGCGATTCGAGAATTTTGTAGAGCTCCTTAAAGTTGCCCCGATGAAACGCGACGAGCGCCTTGCCCTTCAATACCGACTCGTTCTTTTGTAGGCTTTCGCATGTTGGTAGTGACCAGAGAAACCGCGCGAGCCTCTCGACGTCACCGGACTGTTGTAGCACTTCGCAGACGCAGGCCACTTGCTCCTGCGTAAAGCCGAACGATGGCAGGACTGGCGCCGGTGCAAGGGTGAGATTTCCCGTCAATGCCGACTGGCTTAAATCCGTTGGCGGTGTACTGGTCATGATCACAGTCAAGCTAGCAGCGCCTAATGCTGTGGCCAGCTGAGCCGGCGATAGCCAAGGGTTGCTGGGTTGTTGTTGTTCGTTTAACTGGGCTAGGCTAAGTTAGGTTAGATTTACTTTAGAATCACCTCACCGAGTCGGGGCTGCTGGCAGCAGCAGGATCCTCGTGGATCGGCGGCCTACCGACCGGCCGGCAGGCAGGCAGGCAGGCAACAAGCCACCGCCCGCGAAAGAGAGGACTTGTGTTCTGAGATTGGGTGCACCGATAAGGATCACTGAGGAAAACAAGGAAATAGAACGAGGCCGATGTTGAGCGAGCACAAGATCTGCTATCTAGAGCTGGCTGCTAGTCTTCCCAGCAAACTCGTTGCTGTACCCCCCGAAACGCGCGCACCATAAGCACAATCATACATACACACAGCAACCACTACACGGTCACTGCTAGCACGAGTATACACAGATAGGCAGACAGAACGAGCGAATCACCGATGTACGGACAATAAGGCTACTTCAGCTAACACGGATTCTCGATGAAATTCTCACCAGACGCTTTGGACCCCGCTAGACGATTAATCGACTGCCAGGTTACGACACATGCTCACACCCACGTTATAAGTAAACAACTTCACTTGCTGCCGTTCGAGCTACGTCTACGCTGTTAGTATCAATGATTTTGTTGCGACTGCTCCTTTATACTGGTTTGTTGTTAAGGTAGAACTCGAGCAACGGTTACGATTCTTTGGCTTCGAGGGACACGTACATAGAATAGGGCTTTACATACAGATCCATACAGTGGCAGATAAGCAGACTCAGTGAGAAGAATTCTGCGCGCATCCAAACGGACCGATAACGCTGACAATTGTGAGCTGCTAACGGTGGTTTCGTCGCCGTCGACCGCACCGAAATTTATGGAGGCAACATCCTGTGTTCTACTGAATACCCTCATAGAGACACTTGGAAACAAGCTGTCGACATCAATCGTCGATGCGCGAGCACTGAATAATACTGGACAGCGGTTCAGCAGAACTACGCCCGCTGAAGCCAATGCTCGCGTCGATCTTCAATCGATTCGATAACTTGGACGTCAAGCTGTTTCTGTCAGATCTTCACTGCAGAACACTGTATGTCTCTATCTCTGATTAGCTTTGAAACTGCGGCGATAGGTGACCTCGCCGATAGTACACAGGCCACAAGTAGATTACAATGCTGGGTCGTTGAGTTGTTCATCAATAGCTGTCGTTGCAGCTGTCGTACGTACCAGATATTGTTGCGGTATTATTTCTTGGGATTCTTATTGTTAATATAAGGAATCAATTAGTCTCCGAAAAAACGGCCTTTCCCTGATGTCCAGGTTTAGCAAGCTAGGACAAGCTAGGCCAGTTGCAGAACTTTCGCGGAGGAGTAATCCAACACGACGTGAAACCAAACACCACTGTACACAACTAAACGATGCACTGTCCTTCTACTGTTCGCTGGGCTTGAAGCACTCCGCCACTTGGCCTGGGCGGTACTTTTGGCCAGGCGGAGCCTCCTCCGTTGAGGCGGAGCGGGCGGCGCTGCGATCGTCCCGGGCTGGGCGAGCTGCTTCGTCGCTCTGCTCGCGGCAGCAGCGGGCAACCGCGAGGAGCATAGCGTCGCCGCGGCCGCCGCGGCTACTCCCACAGCCACCACTAGCCGATGCGACCCAGTGCCACCCGTTGGTTGGTACCGGTTCGGTGAGTGTTGGCTTGTGGCCCAGGCTGATGTGGCTCCCAGTGTCGTCGTTGCTGTCGCTCTGGCGTCGCTGTCGCTCCAGCTGCGATGCAGCGCCAAAGTAGCTATGGCTGCAGCGGCAGCAGGTCGTCGTCTCGTATGATTATGTTGTGCGACTGAACTCAGTAACTCAAGTCCACTGTCCTGGCTGGCGGCGGAAGCGTTCAGCAGCGCTTGCGTCGCTGGCAGACCTATGACATATAGTTAGCTCCAGTGGACACCGCGGTGACGCCGGCTGAGACCAACAATCGCCGTCGCGCTTAGGCGGACAGCAACGTCGTTTCATTGACTGGCAATAGCGGTCGGTTGCGACGCTAGCTCCTCAACAGGAAGGCGCTGGCAGAACAACGTTGCAAGGGTGTCGCCTTAAGACGACAACGGCTGGTAAAGCCGCCGCCGCCGCCGCCGTCGGTTCGTGTGCGCGCTCTACGGTCATGCGACAAATGGGAAGGTGGAAAGGAACTAAAACGGTCCGCCACCGCGGCCCTCGTGCCCTGAGGCGGCTAAACAGACCGATGGACTGCGACGGACTCGGCCGACCGGGACGTCTTGTAGTGCCAGTGCAGCTGTCCGGTTTCCGGGAAGACGAACCCAGCTGGCCTGCTACGCGGAGCTCAATGCTTTTCGACGTTCGATTGTCCCGGCAGTTAACATTCGTTTACTCAGACTATTAGCTGTCCATTTGAGTCCAAGCAGACCAACGGCAAGTTTATAGATTGCTTAACTTCGACGAATGGTTGGGTAGGCAAGCATCGCATGTCTACCGCAGACACACCCTGCCTGTCTAGCGTACCATTGCTCAAGTGAAACCAACGATCGGACAGCAGCCACGAGAAAAGACGTGTCGGCATTTGCGGTAGTCGCTGCAGTAGGCGAAGGGTCTCAGGTCTGAAGCAGTGCTTAAGAGCAGTGAACGACGCACAATTCAAAGCGTTATTTCCAAGTCGAATACCGTTAGGGAAACTAAGATGCGCGAGCCGAATTCGATGGTGGACACAGCACCGCTCGCTGCTAGAGAGTAATTGAAGAAATTGGTAATCTACCCGGGTGATGGCGAGTCGTCATAACCACAGTCGCTAAAAAGAAATACAACATAAAATCTTACTAACCTGTAGGGTCACGGGGACGAGCGGAAAAAAGACCTGATAAGAAATGAAGCCACCGCTGCTGCTGCGATAGCATCAGAGAGAAGGAGGAAGACAGTTAAGCAAACAGGCAAACGGGACTATCAGAGATGATTATGCCTAGAGCAAGTGTTATTGCCATCTTTAAAAAAAAGGCTCCTCGCAAGTCTTACCTGTTTGAGCTTCTGCGACTACTCTGACGGGCTCCTATTTTCTATGAAGAACACTCACACGAAGTCCTGACACCTCGATAATTGTTTTTTAATACTCATATCTAGTGTTTTTCTATTAAAGAGAGATCTGCAGCCATTCTTTCTTCGCTATGGCTTGTTGCCACTCTTGAATTCTGCCAGTTTAGATTAGAGCCATCACGGATGTGCCCTACCAGGTAAATGCTCAAGCTGATTAGACGCCAGGCTAAAAGATAGTTGTGGAAAAAACGTTGCATATTTACTTCACGTCGGCCTTCGAAGCATAGGTCAGTCACTCTCTCGGCCAGAATACTCAATTCAACGTTTTGTTAGCTGAGCTGACGGGGCCCAAATGTTAGTTGAAATAAGACTAGCGATCAGTTTAATGGGTAGCCTGATATCTAACACGAACTGTAAACACGACATGAATTCGGAATCAAAATCGTGACTCAGGCCGTCTGTCCTACCGCGAGATAATCCTAATAATATATAAGAAAATGACTGATATTACCAAAAATTGCGTGGACGATACGTACAGCGTAACGATTACGTTGCTAACACAGTCTAAACGGCCTAATGCTTTTCGTATGGCGAAGCAAGCCCATAAAAATATTCTCCCATCCTTTTGCAACTAATTGAACTAAGCGTTTGATAGCATAAGATCATTTTAGGCAAGATATCTTGTGACATTGACGTCAGCTATTTAGCTCAGTAAGATTTTTAAAGGAAAAGGTAGCTTCTATCTATATTTTGTGAGCGGTTTCTCGACCATTCATAGTAAACGCGGCTTCTAGACAGAAAAACTATCTAATGTTTGGCTTCCCTGTGTACAAGCGATCCGTGCATTTTCCATCCTCAAAGCATCGTTAGCCCTAACTCAGTTCCTTTTGGAACTAATCGATCGTTAGGATCCGATTTCTGCAAAAAGATAGTATATCCACCCGCGCGCAAATAGTCCTTCTGCAAACCTTTGCTTTTCAGTGCTTTGATGAACAATGACGTATGAATGATAAAAACGTACGACGATGCCAGAATGGACGGAAATGATTTCTTCCATTTTTTAATCTTTGACGTGTGAGCATTCTATTGTTTTAAAATTTAGCTTGCCTTTTCCGCTACCGTGTGTTCATATTTTGCCGCCGTACCAAATTGTCCTTCGCAGCGGCCGCTAAAATACATAGATATATATAGCTTGGACAACAACGAAGATTATGTAAAGGGTTAAGGGTTAGTGCACGCAGTTTCTAGCAGCATCTGTAGAAGCTGTTTCTGAGACTTTTAGCGATGAAGGTCTCTGATGAAATAAACTGCTGATCCTTTTGCGTCGAAAATCTGCCCGATCACCATAAGTGAGTTTCTGTACGTGTAGAAGTTAGTCACGAAGTTTCGGAAGAGCCTTTACGATAACTTATAGAATTTGGTGAAGTCTTAACAAGTGCTAACTTTAGGAGCATCTTCAAATGATGAATGTCGATTTGACTCAGCTCGTTAAACAAAGTCACAACGTTGAAAATATAGAGATTTTGGAACAGCAGAAGACCACATATAGTGATCTTGTTGTATGACACCGTTTGACTTTATTAAGCCACACCATCTTCCGAGTCCCGGTCCATAGTCCCAATCTTGCCCTATCAAATGAAACAGTCTGGATTCGTGTAGCACAGCTTTAAAGACGAGTGACGCAAAACAAGGGGTAGAAATTTCAAAAAAAGATCGCCTTTACGCAAGTGCCCTTTTTTACCTTGCATCTCTGTGTTCCCCAAACGGGATCCCAAGCTAAATGACTTCATTAAGAAGGGTTAGTCCATTCCGAAGGTTAGCACCACCTAAAACGAGTCAGGAAACGAGGCCACACACTCTGACCACTTAATAAGATGTTCTACGAGATAACGACAAGATACAGCATTTATATTTCTTGTGCTATCGTTTATTCGCTTTATTTCGATTGGCAGCTTATTTCTCACCCTCATAATGCTTCTAGGACGTTGAGCGGGAAGGTCTCGCGTTGCGCTGTGCTCCAGCCGGCAAACGTGCCCGTTGACTTTCGACCTGCGACGATGGCGGCGGCGGCGGCGACATGATCGATACTGATAACCGGCGTCGATAACATAATCGAACAATTCGTAGCAGTCAAGTGACAGCCAGCCTCTGTGTACTGTTGCATGATGGGAGTTTCACCAGGTCGTTGAAAAGAGTCGCAACAATGTCCGTCTTTTCTGTTCACGGTCGTTATGTTGTCATTGTAAACGATACAACAAATGTTCTTCGAGTGTTGAAGCAGGCCAGGCATAGTTCGCTACTCGACTTCGGACAGTCTCAGAGCTTCAACAATGTGTCGCATAGAGGAATAGATAACGCTAAGTTAGCTGTCGGGCTGGGGTGCTGATAGACGAAGTTGCTTGACGGCGACTAGCGGTTGGCACTCACTCGTTGAACTGCTGTTACAGAAGTGTGTGATTGTTGCATTTCTTCACTTCTGTTTTGGGCTTCCACAAAAGGCGTGTCGGCGACGGGGCGGGCCTCTTCCCGATTTAGGTGATTTCGCACTTTAGCGATCCGACAGACATTGGAAGAGGGCCGAATGCTCAAGAGACTCCGAAACTTCATAAAGTAAAGGGGGGACGATAGGGTGAATATAGGCACAGAACAGATATTGGAGAGAGAAAGCGGATAGGGGGCAGCGCAGAGTGTCTGCGTCAGCGCTCCAGCGGTAGGGTAACAAAGCTCAAGAGTTGGCTAAGAGTCACTTCACGCCTCGGAGTTAATTTATGAAACGGAGACCCAGCCACTTTAGCTACCTACTGCACTAGCCTCACTACGCGCCTTTCATACGCGGCCGCATTGCACATGCTGTGGCGCCAGACGAGCCGTTCGCGATGACATCGTATGGCCATACGAGTTGGAGATGATTCTGGTTAATTTGACTTTGACGAGGCCAGCGATCAGCTCCGTTTTGTAACGCTGTAACGATATGGCTAAATACTGGCTGCGGGTAAACTGTTACCGAAGCCTCTTTGGTTAGAGCCAGAGTGGGCAATACGCCTGTGGGCAGCCAGCGCGGAGTCATTGGATCCAAAACAGAAGTAGAAGCTCGGCCTGCTATGAAGTAGTCCCTGTTGACAACTTTATAGTGCGCTATCAAGGCAGTGAAAGAACTAACGCTGCTGCTGCTGCTGCCAGAGGACAGGTCAAGAGTCAGACTTAAGATTGGCAGCCTCGAATTTGATTGGCCCGGTCAAAGCACACGTAATAAGCTTTCGAAATTGTAAGAAGTTCCAGGTATAGAAAAAATTGGCGTCACATCTGAACTGCAAAGTGGGGTAGTTCCTGGATTGGACGTAAGTTGTCGCAAATTCAGCTTGGCGGCAGTCGCTGAAGTAACCCAGTTATTACCTTGTTGTAGACTCGCAAGGATCGGCCTCCTATTTCGACACGAAAAAGCCTTTTCCATCCTCCGTGCAAGGGTCGGCAATGTACCATCATAAGCTTAAGTTGAATACTTCTACCGTGTCACCTGTGCCAGAGCGGAGCTGGTATGCAAATAGTCAAATCGCTAACAAGCGTTGACTGGTTATTTTCCTCTCGTCAAACCTGAAACCTTATCCATACAATGCGCAGGGTGTGCCAGGTGAAAAGAATCAGTCGACCACGAGCAGACACTTAAAGCTACTGGTATTTGTATACTAGTGAGCCGTGTCTGCTGTTGCCGTCGTCGCTGGCTCTGCTGTCGCAGATCAGGGAATGGTACTACCCCTCGCTGTTTCACATTCTCTTAAAACCGAGTTCCTCGGCAGCGACGGCCTCCGTGCTCCTCTTTGGCGCTGTTCATAACCATCGTCGCCGCGGTGTCTTCCCTCGAATCATTCGATCTCGACTCGATTTTCTTCCAGCCGACAATAGCCGACCCAGTCACCATCACTGCTTCCACTATTTGCATTTTCTCGTTGTCAGTCGAATCCTCCCTCGGCACTCTGTCCAATTCTCGTTGGTCTGTTTCGCTGACTTTTCGTTGGTTGCTGCCATTGCATTGTAATCGTCAATCCGAGCTGACCCGGTCTGGCCTGTCCGAGATTGCGCGGACCCGTAGCGTCTACGGCGTAGAAAGCCAGAACCGGCCGTTGATCGACACCGCCATTGACACCAGTTCAAGAGCCTCGAGTAGTACTAGTTACACTAGTATTGTAGAATAAACAGAGAACAAACCACAGTATGTACGGAATGGCTTGTGCCATTTTACAGCGTCGCTCATACAGTGACTTACTCATAGGCACTCTCACAAGAAACTCAAAAACTTCATGGCGACCGCAGTTCCAATTCAATTTGTTGGCCCTTCAAAGTTGGCGAGCCTCCCGTGTTGTTACTAACAAAGTATTGTCACTCTCGGTCAAAGCCGGCCAGTTAAGCAGCAGGAGCGCGCTATTCCTAACTGAAGACAACAACGAAGAAGCGAAGACAGAATGAGAAGCTGATGTGCTGGCTATGCGACTATACTCAAGCTCAACTACATACAGCCAGAACAGAGTAGCAGACCGATCGCGTAGCATCGCGGACAACATTGCAATGGCAACAATGCACGATCGCTGCATGATCACAATGAATGTGGGTTCGACTTCAACAACTGACTGATTCAGGAACTCAGTGCAGCGTCCGGCAGCCGAGATCGCATGGGCGGTATCTATTCAAACGCGACTTCAAGGGTTTAAACCTTGCTGTACTGACGAGCCTTATGTGTTAAACAGAAGACGCGCAGTACTATCTAGAGCAGTTTCGTCTTCTTCAGTCCTATAGAAGTGTTTATATTGAAGGCAACTGACTTCGATAAGTTGTAGGGTATTCGTGCGGCGATCGACACAATTCGAATGAAGGCTTGCGACTGCTGACTTCTATTAGCAGTTTTCCTTGTGAGCTCTAACCGACAAAGGTGAACAGCTTGAACTCGCGACGCTCCTGAGGTGTGAGTTTGTTGGTGTTGTGTAAAACGAGGCGAGTGGTCATATTTTGTAACAGAATCTATTGTTCGTAAGGAGTCCTGAAAGGGTATTGAGGGTTACTATCTATGCGTCATGGCTACGTCTGTGAGTGTGCTCATAATGTTTGCCGAAAGCATAATCGAAAAGCTGAACGAAGTGGTCACTCGTCAGTATTTAATCTGATTATTGGTCATCACCATCACTAATTCTGTTTTGATTTTTCTTTATCATAAAACTCGTTTATACCGTAGTTAAAATGGAAACGTAGTTTAATTGTGCGAAATAAAGTTGCAGTCCGGCTTTGAATCGGCACGGTGCAATGGTAAATGACAACGTAATTGCAAGGTACGTTAGGAATTGAGGAATTAGGAAATACGCCAAGATTCAAAATAGGCGCCGTAGCTTTATTGCAATCACTGTACACTTGGCATGTGATAATTCAACGCATCGTATTATGAAAAAAATTAAAAACCTTGCAAGCGGGGTGTGCATACGCACACAACTATATCAGTTAATTGAGATCATTTAATGCCAGAGGTGCTTATAGGCTGTGTAGCCGAACATGCGACACCGTATACAAAACGTACATTAAAACAAATGTCTGACCAGTTCCTTCTTGGTTGCGTATCTCCTGTACCTGTGATTAGTCTATCGTTGGCGTTTAGATGTACGCTGGCGCATATACCCCCGTTCGTAGGCGAAATCAGCAGCCTTTTAATATATTTGATAGTCGATATATCCACATACATATTTCAAGAAAGCCGCTAGTCTAGCCTAATCACTACAAGTACTCCCGTAGCCATAAAGTTCCTATTGTTGACTCTCCTAGTTATTGTTGTTTCTATGCTGTCTCCGTTTTGTTTGGCTAGTTGCACCATGTGCTTGAGAGATGCTGTCACCGCATTCAGAGTCATTCACACCCTCCCGCCTATGTTCCGGGGCTGCTCCCGGCATTTCCTTTTTGCTGTCTCAGACAACAACACGGGTAGAATGATGAAAACGACCGCATGTGTTACTCTGCGTTACCGTCCATCTATACCAATTCTAACGCCATAACAAACGAGGCTGCCAACCCTCAATTCAAGCCAGATCGGCTCTCAATGCTGGCTCGTGTGAGTGAGCTCAAACCAAAGTATTATGGGACCGTGGTAGCTGTAGTGGCCTCACAGACAATGGTAAAGACAGCCAGGAGATAAGAGATGATCGGGACCGGAATCGCACGAATCTGCTCAGCTCTCTTTTCGCCTGGCAGACTTCATACACGGCACATGCGTATGTATGTGTATATATATACATGTATGCACCATCGAAGATTTATCACCGGGTTTCGCCCTCTACAGCAGGACTTGCCGCACTCCAAGCTCGCAAACACTGCCAAAGACATGCCGCTTTCAAGGGCAGTAACGGCCCGGCGTATAAGATCGCCCATCAACCAGAGGAGCATCAGTGAAAGCAGCCTTCAAGGAGGAAAGGTCTGCGCAAAGAAGGGAAATAATTGAGAGAGCCCTGGGAATAATGCTGACTGCTTCTCGGCCACCATTGCTTTCGTTTGTGGCAGTTCCATGATCAGCAGTAAAAGTAGCTGCAAGGATCTTATCCTCGAGAGGGGCTAATGGGGTGAGAGTTTCACTGGCGAAGACAGTTCTGAAGCGGGCTTGCATTCCGGGCCACTGGCACTTTCGGTGGCGCAAATTGGGTTATCTTCGCTCATCAGAATCTGTTAAGAATCTGCCTTCCTATGGGTGCGGGCACATGGGGTTAAATGGTCTCAAGGGGTGTGCATTTATTATGGTAATTTACCCGCAACTACATGAAGAGAGGCTGCCGACGGTATCGTTTGGGATAGCGGATTTTTTTATGCTGCTAAATAGGGGGAATTTTTGAGTTTTTTAGATTGAAAATGCACTTTCACCAATTCGTGACGACTAGATAATATAATAGAGGATAAAAATTTGCTGTTTATCTACTGACGCTGTTGTACCATGATGTACTCTAGAACGGATCCACGCAGAAGTTACTGAAGTAGGACATCGACCTTAATGATTAGTTTCTTCTGAGGTTCAAATGCAATAGAAGTACGTAGATCGTCAATAGCAAGTTGCCTTAAAGCTCACATTAAATTATAAACGATTAGCGTCTTACATCAGATAGACAGCAATCGATATTGTAAACCCAGCTCAAAGTAAGCTCATTGCCCGCCTGTAACCACGGCAACAGAAACCTGCACTCCTTTCGATGCGCCATCACAGCGGTAATGCAAGAACTGGACTACTTACGCGTTAGGAGCACTTATATAGGGAATAGAGAGAGCTAGATATAATAAATATTAGTAAATATTTGAACTTAGGGAATCTGATGCCAATATAATAGCATTAATAATCAAATAGGATACGAGCAGTTTGTATTTGTTTTTATTTTAATCGTCTGTATTTTAGAGACGAGGTGAACATTTGCTTGCCAGATCTTGTATTGCTACAACACTTGCCATCAACTCATTGTGAAGAAGGAATTAGACAAACATGGACTGGCGTTTGCTTCTTTTTTTTATTTGTATTTTTAACTTTTTCAGTAGAATGTCATCCGCCTCCTTTCATATTTGGCGAATACAAGCTGCCGCGGGTGGCTTCCTCTAAGAGCTTTTCCACTTCCCCGGCACGCCCCCTGTCCGGGGTTCTATAGAAGATAGCCGACGAAGCGAGACCGCCGTCCAGGTCACCGGCAAAATGAACACACGCACACTGCTGCTGGTCCTGCTGCAGCCTCAAACCGAGCTTCAAGTCTTCTGATATCTATCTATCTAACTTCCCATTTCCTTCGGATCCTGAATCTCAACAGCCAATCAACGACACGGCCATCTATGGGACATCCATTCTGTGTCCCATTGCTGAGCGCTGAGCCACCATACATTCGCCACCCAAGTCTCCTCCGAGTCGGAGCTCACGATGACCCTAAAGGGACAAATGTAGTAGTGGTATTTTCAGCACTGGCGGTGGGAACAGATGATAACTTATAGCCGAGTAATTGGCACTCCCGAGAGTGGTGATATACATCTTTGAGAGTGTGAGCCCACATGGTCCATATGCCACACATCGATAAGCTGCAAAGGTTGGCATAGCAGGCATGTGGCAAGTGCGCTGCAAGTATATGCAAAGCCACCTAGATATACGACAGTGATGTCAGAGTGCAAAAATAATCATCAAAAAGATTAAGCACAGCATTTTGAGACATAAAAGATGGCAAGCGGCGATATGCTTTGTTATAAAAAGCTCTAGAAATATAGGGGTTTTCATCAGCCTAAAGATTCATTGGGAATATCATACTTTAGTCATATGGTTACGATAATAAGAATGTCTACAAATTTTGGTGCCCGCCGGTTCGCTGTCACCGGAAGGAATTCCCTGCTGAGCGAGTAAATGGCGATAGCGAAAAGAGTTTACCATCCTGGCCTTAGCACCACCCGTTGTTTCGACCCCGGATGCGTGAAATCCTGCTATGATAGTAAGTTGGTAAATCAATATGAGCTAGACGCAAGCATAAACACACAGTTTGTACAAAACAGAACAGTCACGTAATGAAAAAATGCGTTCTTGATGTATTTTACGTGTTGCCAAACGTATTGGTCTACTGTTAGATACAATGTATCGAGGTAAACCGGCTATACATGTCGTATGACATACAAATATGATAAGCTCCTCCTTTTTATATTCCTAACAGCATCCATATAAATGCTCCAGGTTCGAAACTGCGTTAGCATAGCACCCATATGTATATATATCAAGAACCGGCCTTGCAAAGCGGCCACCCTTTAATCTTAAATCTGCTGATACTCTCCGTATAGCTATTCTTGTCGTGCCCGGTTAAAATGATTGATGTTTCAAAAAAGCTAATGTTTTTATTACTTGAGCGTAGATTTAGGCTGGCTTAGATGGCGCTAAGTTTGATAGCAACTTGATAACGGTTAGATACGGATAGATAGATGAGTTTCTGAAAACACTGTGAAAACGGCTGTCAAGGACGATCGGAGATACTAGAATTAGTATGAATAGCATAGTTCGTACAGTATGGAAGTTAATGGCAAACCACCAAGAGCGCACGCATGCGTCGTCGTATTTGACGACTCACCGTCCACCATTGCCTTACCAATTGGCTGAGCCGTTACTGATGCCCTTTTGGTTCATCTTTTAGGCACGTTCCGTGGCTATCGGTCGCATTCCGGACCCGCCCAGTGTTTAAATTGTTTAGCCATTACCGACTCGCTACCATTGCGATGTGTTCGCTGAAGAGTCCTCCCACAGACGCCGTTCGCTGGATCGCCCGTCAACCGATGGCAACTGGGCATACGTCGCTTAACTACCGGTTAATAGCGCATATCTAAAATAGCATGAGCTGACTCTAAGCTCAGTTGCCCCAAATGAGAGCAGGATCTAAAAGTGGGGGCTTGAGGGGGTTCGATTTGTTGGGATATGTGCGCAACGAAGTTCCTTCGCTCGGCTCGCGATGACAGTGAGCGGGTATTCGAGGAAGCGCGAGACGCCTTGTGCTCATCCACCCCCACCAACTTGTTCATGATTTTTACTACTACCAATGCATAGGTACGTATATAGTTCATAAGCGGATCTGCTTGATGCGTCCGTAGATACCGCCTCCCTAACCGGACCTGCTTCAGTCCCTCTATGAGCGGTTCTAGAATATTTAGGTACGCCACTAGACCTACATCTCATCAACATCAAGATATCTGACAGTAAGCAAAAACCTTGTGAATTAGCTATCAGCGCCTAGCTGACTAGGTTCTTTGCGTCAGACGATTCGATTTCGTTGAACGAGAACCTGCTGGCTCACTGATTTTGGCTGACCGCGAGACATCGCTGAGGTAGGCTGCTAATTTCGCTAGAAACTTGTTCAAGTGTACTCCATAACTATTCTAGCATATCGCATCTACCTGAGTAGGTTTGCCAGGTCAGCGGCAGCAGTAGCGACAATAACAAGTGTGAACCAGCGTGAAATCTTTAACCCTTTTCGATTTGGAGGTATATTGAAGAGAGTCCTGTGGTGACTAACTTGTAGCAGGCAGGCCGGGTTGCTATATGTTTGGGCTCTATTGAGCAATTACGTTGAAGTCATCCGAGAATCCTCTGACCCGCGAATGTAGCTACTTAGAGTTGTCAAAACAGCTGTTAATTCGACACTCAGTACCTTCTGGAATCGTCGGATCGTCGTATTCCTACTATCTTGATTTCGTCAACGATGGATATGGTCAAGCAGCGACTAGCACCTGACAGGTGTTAATTTTAACTGACTGAAAATATAGAGCAAAGAGGTGGATAATGGAACAATCCCAATTTTACCAAACGAACGATCATTGTGGCTGGTCAGAATAGATTTGAAGCGTTTTAATGTTTTCCAACTGTTTTAGCCCACGCGATCAATGGATGTCTCTGTCATTCAATACGTAAAGCTCAACCAACTAATGAAGTGAGCTATTGCGGTGTTTTTGTTGCGGGGCGTTAAAAAATCGTATATACTTTTTTATATGTAGCATCGTAGTGGCCTAAGCAATAGGCATTCTTCACGTTGGAAAATCTATGACGTCTCTGTTTTCTTTGTTTCTTTTTTCATCTAAGCCCAATCAAACTATCCCATAAATATTTTACAGCAACCACCATCAGGGCATAGTTTAGCAATTGTCAATCAGTATTTGTATCACTGACCCTTTCAGCTGTACTTACCTATCTGTCTTATAAAAATGAATTCTGGCTGATATCCATTTCTCTATCTGTAGTTCCAACTTTTTTCACTGGCCGTCATCTTGCGCTTTTCCATTTCACAATGGCATCAACTGCAAATGTTAAACTTTAGTGCAGTTGCGTCGACGACAGCTGAAAAATGCATATATCTTACTATCTTCAGATATATTAGCGATACTACAATAGTGAAAGGTGCCCGTAAACGTCCCAACATTACTGGATTCAATGTATCCCACACGTAATTTCACAGTATAAGCTAAACGCGTATTGAATAGGCTTTAAGGCCAATGCAGACTAGGCAAGAAGAATACGTGTATAGAACTTCAGTATTTCTGGTGCACAGCTAAACGAACGCTACGAATTAAATAGCAATTTAACTAGGTTATTTAGCACATCAACAAAAACAAGCTACTGCTATTCTTGGGGACTAAACGATGTCACATGGATCAGCGGCCGCCTACGCTGCGTCTTTTCCATGAAGACCTCCCGACAACCTCACAGTTCGGGGGAACCCTTAGGTCATTGGTTGGGAGTCAACGTCGTCAAGGTTCAACTGCAACTGCTGCATGCGAACATGCATTTCATATATTCGCACTTGAAGTTAGAACTTCAAGTGACCTCAGAACAAACTGCCGAAATTCTCGCGAAGCCGTGAAGATAGAACCGAGAAAAGTGGACCCCCCTCGGTGCGCGCTAAGAACCGCCGAACAGCTCTCAGGAATGACACGATCGAAATAGCCCTCAGGCGATGGTCAGGTGTAGACTTTGGTCGCAAATCAGAAAGGATGAACACCAACGCACGCGCACGCACGCACATACCCATTAATGAGAGTTAGTATTCGTTTAACAAAATACGTTCACGCACTCTAACGAGGCAAATTGTCATGTACAACTGAATTCAACCACTGCATAAGGCACATTTACTACTAAAACCACTTTAATTTGCACCGAATAACGTCGTAAATACTAGTACATAGTTAAGGGAGTCGTTGGATTAATTTTTGCAGATGTGACCACGTCTATTAGACGTGACGCAAAGGTATTGTTGCAGAACGCCATGGCTCCGACTTCATAAGAATAGTCATTATACAGGTTAGAAATTCATGATTGCCCACGATAGACGTTCGCGACATGCAAACGAGGAGCGAGGAAGAATTTTTAGATCTTCAGTTGCTTGTTCAGGCGCACAGAACTGACAGATTTCGTCCGGGAACATGCGATATAGTATGGTTTACATTAATGAGTAGTTAAGTGTCGTTCAGACCCTCATAAAATGTCTGCGTCAATGTGCTGTTTAATGTGAAGGTGAATGAACGATGTGTGGTTTCAGTGCTGATAATGAGAAGGATGGTTGAAGGACACACTGCGCATATACTGACTTCGTTATGCTGAACTATCTATTTAGGTTTATGTTAAGGTTGGTCGAGGCGGTATAACCAGTCGAGGTACTAGTCAAAGTAAATTCGAAGGCGCCTAGAGTCTCCCGGTAGTAGCAGTAGTAGAAGAAGGAACGATGATTAGGCTTTCTAAGGTCAGCACGCCCTCCGGGATTTGATTAAATACTTATTTTGTGATTACACATGGCTGCCCTATGGGGTTGAGGGGTCAAGGCATTATGGATGTGGTTCTGAGCAGTCGAGTAGTCTTAGCCACGAAAAGAAGAAGGACAGTGAGCGTAGACGGGTGAAGCTGCACACCTGTGTAGCCAATCAACTTCGTTTATAGTTCCATCGCCATAGAACAGAGTCATGATGGAGTGACGAACTGAGAGAGAGAGAGAGAGAGAGAGCTAAAGACAGAAGTAAAGGCGGGTAGACTTAATTCAATGGTGGCTCAATTGTCGACGATTGTATATGTACCTTGTAGTCGCGTCATCTGGTGGCAGGCTGTTTCTGCGCGATTGAAGTTACGTGTGCGCGCCATGTCTGGAAAAGTAAGGGGTAGCGAGGTTACAGCAGATTTGTTTGATCTCGCGTTAATTTCATGTAACTGTTTCTTTATCACGGAAAATATTCAATAGAAAGCGGCGTGGCAAAACTGCGCATGGCGCAAAATCTTTACCTGCATTTAACTCAAACACTTAATATTAACCAGCAGTGGCTAATGCAAGATTTATGCGCGTCTTCTTCATGCATTGCCACAGTAAAAGTTAACGTGCGACCATCGCTGGTTCAATGTTGCGACGTTAACAAAGGCTTACTTACAAAGGCATGTTGACACTATGTTCGTCTTACGTAAGTAAAATCTAACGTCAAAAGTACCATAAGTAAAGAAAAAAAGATTCATCTATTGTACTACATCTACAAGGCTGACTAAAACCCATTGCCGTCAACTGGGCTACATCAGGTGACTTATGAGGCTCAAGTGCCCACTGTGTAACCGAACAGGGTCAATCTACAAGTATCTCAAGCGAGCAAAGGTGTCTTATTTTTCTACCATCCGACAACGCGAATAGATTGCAATTTTATCTATTTTAATATTTAAATAATTTAAATAACTATAATTATTTTAGATAAGAACTAGTTTTCACATTTTCATCAAAGCGTTTCTATGGTTAGTTATTTCCGATGATGAAACAGAGCCTCACAAAGACCGTTATGGTATATTCTCTTAACGAACAAATCAAGGGTCCATATAAAAAATACTTCTATAATAAATATTTTTTAGAACATAGAATAAATAGAGTTACATAGATACCGAGTCTTTCCGTTAGTCCGTGATCACGAGCAGCCAGTCAATATGACAATCTATGAGGAACGGACCGAATGAAGAGCGAGTTAGTCTTACTTTCGCTTAAAGTCGTGTGTATCTGTGCCATCTGTGTTGTCTTCGCGTCGTAGCTGCGGTCTAATTGCGATCCACGCTTTTGTTGACCACCCATTTATGTTCATATATTCGACTCTAAACGACTAGACGGCCTGATTGACGCGCACACTTAAACGGGCTTATCTGTTTATTGAGTTTCATGTAACCATTTTCTACGACGTCAACGATAGCCGCTGCCACCGACGCGCGCGCAATTACGAAATCCAGGGAAGTGCTTCGATCTATTGTCATTACGCCCTTGACAACAGAGGCTCTCTGACTTAATATTATTCAATGGACGGTTATGCCGTCTAGTGTATCAGTCTAGATCGGTGTCACCATAAGCATCTTAATCATCCGGATTTCTGCAGCTGCATAAAACCTCTACTAGAGGAATAGCGGTACGAAAAATAGGCAGTCAATCTCTCTCTACGTTTTTTTTTATACTATATTTCTGTCTTTCTTTTTCTGACGTTTATTCCCCAGACCCCTGGTTGATTCTAATGACTCGACAGTAAACGTTGTTTTCTGCCAGTCTAAAACTGTGACTTGTCTAAATACGGTGACGATAGTTGGCCGGCGTTGTGACGGCGCAGCTACGTGGCGATTTCCTATGCTTAGACATGTACGCGACATGCTCATTGTGCTTAGTTGGGTGGAGATGATAACCTTCGAACAAGCGGCAGGAACGATTTGTACCGAGAGTGTTGATTTCGATGAATGCGAAAACGCCATCGACGCTTAGCTGAACGCAGGGTTTGCTAGACGACAGGATCTGTTAGCAGCTATATCAGCCGTACAATAATGCCAAGACCACTAACAATATTTATACATACGCAAATGGGCCATAATTGGACAGCGCCTATGAGTCAATGGCTAATTAATGGTATCTCCACAAGGACATGCTACCCCGAATCGATGTTGTTGGATTGCCAAACTGTCAGTGCTTGGATCAAACGAAGATTTCAATATACATCTCTCTAATTATTAGATTTGGAAAGATCCTATAATTCAATAGCTAATTTGTCGCAGCAGAATGATGCCAACGGCTCACATTAAAATGAATTGAATGAGCAGTAAATTTAGCTAATGAAGTCCAGTGATTTTGGACGCCAGAAGGAGCCTTGAGACGATGCCAAAGAAACATCTTTGAAGGATTACTCATACCGAGAAGATACATAGAGAGAGACATAACCGGCAAGGCACTGAAATATACAGTGTAGTGGCAGCTAGCCAATTAGATGTCCTCCTTGCGAATTTTCATTCTCCACTCAGGTTGCATGTTATATAGCGGAATGCCGTAGGCCACTTGGTTCTCATACTAATTTATAATCGATAATTAAATGAGAGTCCTAATATTATTCAGCTATTAAATAGTTCTCTCATAACCATATGATTAGTATTTAATAGATATTTCGTATTCTCTCACATCACCCCTTGTCATGGAGCCTTAGGTTAAGCGAGTGTTTTAATGAAGTGTTTTGTGTACTGATCTATCTTCCGACCTAAGTTCCTGCCGATCATCCGAAATATAGAGATGCGCATTATATATATATATACTTAGAAATAATAAAGGTAAATTTCCGTCACCGCCATATTTCGACACGATCGAAAGAGGTCAGAGCACACAGCAAATAACCCTCAAAGATCTCTAACGGCTATCAACTAACGGAGGTGGGCCACAGATCGAGGCTGTTACATAGCAGATAATATATAGAACATGACCTAGATTTGCAAGGTAGGTGGCTCGTCCTCAAGCCGACGAATCTCAACCTCCGCATCAAACAGACACACTTTCCCTTTTTCCGTAGTAAATTTGCTTG